GTTCAGTTAATTCAGCAAGGACGTAGAAAGGGGGGGTTTTATCGTTTTTTTTCTTTAGCAATAGAAAAATTGTAGCCTGGGGGCATGTTGCTTTGACAGATTGGGGTTATATGGTTGAAGCTGACCTCTGCAGCTTCCTTCCCCTTCCCCCTCCTGGCAGGCGGGATGAAGCACGTCTGATTGGAAGCGGTTATCCTTATTTTGCTCTTTATCTGATGGAAGGCCACCACAGTAGCTAAGAAGGACTTGTTATATATTTTGCTTTTCCTGGGAGGGATGCTTGAAAGCTCAGGGAATAACCTATAGAAATAAAAAATAAGATATTTTGGCTGTGTGGGAGGGAAGCGTTTAATCACAGCGAAGAATAGGGGATTGCACAGTCAAATAAGCAGTTCTTGGCAGATTTTAGAGACCAGCAGTGGGGAGTAAGAAGGGTGTATCAAATAGAAGTGTAGGAAAGAATAAATGGAAATGAACTGAAGAGAAATAATAGCATCATATTTAGAATCTGTCACTTTATCAGAATTATGTTGACTGGTTATTAGCAAAAGAGAAGGAGTTGTTATTTTAGAGGAAGAAGGGTTTCATTTCCCCTTCATTAGCTGAGGAACCTGCTGACAGGAATTAAGGCAGAATATTACTGAATAGGAGCTTCAGCCACTCCCTCACGTCTGCAGGAAAGGGTTATTTTAAACCCAGATCTGCACAGTGACTCCATTTGCAGCATGGCCCTGCAAAAGAAACTGCTGGCAAAACTCAGGCTGCTTTGTGCTGCTACGTGAGAATGGGGCGGCGAGGTCCCGGGTGGGAATCCTGGAGGGCTGCAGTGCCCCTGACGCCCGCGTCAGGAAAATACGCTGCAAGTTAACCATTGTCCTCTGAGCTCAGTCCGTGCTGAAACAGCGGCTTTGCGTAATCATTGAAGGCGACGGTTCCTGCTCCAAAAGATGTTATGTTTTGAACTGCCAAAACAGACAAAGGAGGCATTGTCAGCCCTTCCCACACGGGAAACCGAGGCACGGAGAGAGAGATTTGTGTGGGGCACATGGGCTAATTTTGACAGAAGGGGTACTTACACTCAAGTTTCCTGAGTTCATTTGTGTGCCACCACCGCAAGATTGCCCTTCCTGTCTAATCTTGGCTTTTTTTCTCCCCGAAACTTCAGTTCTAATACTGAGTTGTTTATCAAAAACATGATTTAATTTTACTCTGTTTAATAAATACGCGAGCGAGTCTTTCCTCAAACAAAACTGTGCAGCTCACATGCAGATCCGAGTTGCAACGCTGAAGTTGCGCGTGCGCCCGGGGAGCTTCAAGCGGATTTTCACCTTGGGACCGCCAGAGACAGGAACGGAAGGAAAGGCAGAGATGTGACTTTGGCTTCTGCTTTTCTTGGGCCTCGTGGGGATCGCAGCCCCATGGATATGTACAAGGAGAACCTGCAAGAGTAGTAATGCTGTTCTGCCCAGCTTCACAGGGGAAGAAAAATAAAAGAAATATCTTACTAACCGGAATGTCCATTTTTCTTGCTCAAACTTGTTAACTGCAGGAAGGCCAGTGAGACTTGGGCAGTCAGCATGACCAAACTGGGGCTGTTTGGGTTTTTTATGAGGCTGTCTTGAGTGGAACCATCTGGGCTAGGAGAAGACCACACTTCTGAAATGAGCCTTTAGGAATACTTAAGTTAAGTAGCTGTCTGGGGCACCATGCTGAAAGGAAGGGCACTCACAGCTGCATGTATTTTATGGGTTTATTTTATCTCTGATGACAAAAGAGAACTTAGTAGTCATGTGGTTCCTCATAAATCTCAAGCCACTGCTGACAAGTGGCACTGCCTGTGTTCTCAGCCACGCTGGCGCAAAGTTCCGCCGACTTTCTGGTTCGTGATGTTAATAACGATGCCGCTAATTGGTGATGCTTTAGAGAGATATCGAACTTTTCTCTGAATATAAAGGCAATCCCCAAGTTACAGGCTGAGAATGGAAACTTCAGAATGTTAAATACCTTGGGTGAATACTTCCATGGTCATTCACCTCATACCAGCGTGGCTTCTCTCTCTGGTTCCTGGGGCTCCAGTCTTCCTAAAGGTTTGCTGTTCACTTTCCTGAGAGCAGAGGGCATGGGCGCCTCTGAACCCAGTGTCCTTCTAGAAAGCCAAATACAGGTTTGGGAACAGAACTTTCAGTATGAGAATGGTACATCTCAGCTCAGGTGGTTTAAACTATTCTTTTGCATTGCAGTCTCTGTTTTGGTTTGGTTTCAATTTATGCTTTTTTGGGGGCAGTTTCCTGAGGTACCTCAGGGGGCCTGGTTCCGCTGCCTGTATTCCAGTTTCCCAAGATACTTCTTGTTTCCGTGTTAGGAGGCCAGCTCCCCTCCTTCAAGCACTTTTCTATGTGACAGACCTGGAAAGGGGCACATCAAATTCAGTATCATTTCAAAAGATGTAACCTGTTTTCCTATGCTTTCTGTTCACTGAGATGATCACTGAGGGATCGCTCATCATAAAATATTTACCAGCGTATTGCCTCAACTAAGATAATAGCTCTTAGAGTGCAGGCATGAGGAAAGAAATACTTGCTCCGTGACCTTTTTGCAGTCCATGTTCTGCTGAAGCCATCTCCGTTTCAATGGACCCTAGAAGCTTTACATGATACTTATTAATCTGATTTACTAATACACTCCTAAAGGGTGAACAGAGAGAGCGAGGGAGAGAAGGCAAGCTGGACTCAGGCTTACAGGAATCAGATTCATGGCAGCTCTGCCACAGACACCCGTTTGACTTTACACACATCATTTAATATTTGTGGTTCCCCCGTCTACAAAATGCAGATACTAATTCTGCTTTTGTTGCTTATCCACGCTTGTATCAACTGCGGGTTTGGACAGGGATCGGCTCCTCCTGTGTCTTTGGATACCCCACAAATGAGTCCCTGATCTTAGGTGAAACTTCTAGTTGCTTCTGTAAGCCACATAATTATAGTTGGCTTCAACCTCCTTCGGGAAGAAATGCAACCTTTGGATTACGGTGGTGTAAATAAAAAGTCCACCACAGTTCACAAGTCAGAAAATGCTGGTAGTGTTTAGCATCAATGTCTGTCGCCTGAACATCTGGCATTCATCACTGCTTTCCTTTTCCTTCCACTGTCCTATTTTATCCCCATCTGTTCGAGGTTTCTTAGCACTGTCTGTATAAATCATAGCTGCATCTCAGCCTGGGTAGTCCAGTCGTTACAGGCTGCTGTGTAAATGAAGGAAAAAGAGGTGTATTTAAGGGAAAAGTTTTTCTTACGCACTCTGCTCCCCTTCTTTCTCCCCTATCCCTGTACACAGACAGTACTAGACAGTGTTACTAGACAGCGTGATACCCCTGCTATGAGGAAAGATGGAAAAGTTTCCAAAAATAGCAAATGTTTTTACCAGCCGTGGTTCTGAAGGCAGAAAGGAGGAGAGGAGTTGAAGCCTGAGTGGACGCCTGTTACCATTGTTGGAAAGACCAAAATTTACTGCTTTGGAACAACCCTTCAGCAAGTTAATAATAAATTGAGAAAGCAAACATTCCTTAAAGTCAGACTTCCCAGGCAATGCCTTCGATGTATTTTCTTAAAATTTACTCTTATTGCAGTAATTTAGGTTACTGCTAGGAATAATAATATTGAAGGTGCTAGGAAAATACGGGTGTGTTAATATTAGCCAAAGCAGAATTTTTTGACACTTTTTTTTCCCCCTCAAAAAAGCTGTGTACCGCCCTCATAATGGCCATCCCAGTCAGCTCTCCCGGGCCATGCCAGCGGGGCAGCAAGCCGTAGCAGCATTCCACAGATGCATTTCTGGTGTGGGAATGAATCCACCGCCGCCTCCTGTATGAGCATTTCCAGTAGCATGCCCGCGTTACCCTGCCAAAGCCAGGTTCTCCTGTTTGTGCACAGCCTCACGCGGCCCCGTGTGCTGGGAGCACATGTGGATTTAATTCTCTGCCAGCTTTAACAACCAGAAAAGCTATTTCCTTGTTCTAGAAATGCTGGGAGACACCATAGTCCCAAGAGACTGGACGCCAGGGAAATAAGGGCCCGTTTCCCTCTGTCTGGAGAGGGTCATTGCAGACTGCCATCGCTAGAAATCCCAGAACTTTATCCAGGCTCAAGGTCGGCTGAAGCTGGAGGGTCTCTGTGTACAGGACAGCTGCCGTGTTTTCCGTTCAAGGGACTGCTTGTGTTGTTGGGGATTGCATCGCACTTGGAACAGCAAGAATGCCCCATGTGTGTTCCGATCATCTGGCTTGTTCACCCTCTATAGTCTCATGTAGCAAAAGTGTGTCTGAAGGTTGTTCCACCTGATAGCAGATTAGCTGAAATGGGAAAAAACTACTGCTACTGTTGCTGGTTGCCAGCTCCTGCCTTCTCTTTCTACAAAGCATATTGCATTCCTGATTTCCCATTATTTTTCACTTATGTTCCTGTGGTGTTATCCTGCTACTTGGTGCAGGGTCCCAAATTTCAGCTCAGCAGCCAGATCAATCAAGCAGTAGGTGTCCTGGTCAGCATCTGCATGGAGTGAAAATAATAGGCCCAGCTCATAAACAGAGCAATTGCGGGCTGTCCTGCAGAGCAAGACCTGGCTGATTCGGAGGGCATGCGGTCGTGTGGAAGGCCAGGCAGTCCCTAAAGTCACAGTTGCTCTCTGAAGTTGGTAGATAGTTGAATCCCGATGATTTGTTCTGACATTGCAGTCTGTTGCTGGAAATGGATGTCCCGGTGAAAGCGTTACTACGTGGCAAGACTAAAATGGTGGGCAATGAGAAAGAGAAACATGGGTCTAATATTGCACAAAGTACTTTGCATGAGGTATTGCAAGAAGAAAATAATCCAAGAGTACAGTAGGATGGATGCTGTGATGTTGATTTACTCTTGTCTTTTTGATATCTGCATGAGAGCTCAGCTTGCCAAGCATCTTTCTTGTTACTAGCAGAATATTTATTTTATTTTCTCTTCTCCTTGTAGAAAATTCTACTACATCACACTGCTGAGAGACCCCGTATCTCGTTACCTCAGCGAATGGCGTCACGTCCAACGAGGAGCTACTTGGAAGACCTCCTTGCACATGTGTGATGGCAGGACACCAACTCCTGAAGAGCTGCCGTCGTGCTATGAAGGCACGGACTGGTCGGGCTGCACGCTGCAGGAGTTCATGGACTGCCCGTATAACTTGGCCAACAACCGCCAAGTGAGGATGTTGGCTGACTTGAGCTTAGTGGGCTGCTACAACATGTCTTTCATCCCAGAGAACAAGCGAGCGCAGATCCTGCTGGAGAGCGCAAAGAAGAACCTCAAAGACATGGCCTTCTTCGGCCTGACGGAGTTCCAGAGAAAGACTCAGTACCTGTTTGAGAGAACTTTCAATCTGAAATTCATCCGGCCCTTTATGCAGTACAACAGTACGAGGGCTGGAGGGGTGGAGGTGGACAACGACACCATCCGGCGGATTGAGGAGCTCAATGACTTGGACATGCAGCTCTATGACTATGCAAAGGACCTCTTCCAACAGCGCTACCAGTACAAACGGCAGCTAGAGAGGATGGAGCAGAGGATAAAGAATCGGGAAGAGAGGCTTCTTCACCGGTCCAATGAAGCACTTCCCAAGGAAGAGACCGAAGAGCAAGGACGCTTGCCCACTGAGGACTACATGAGCCATATTATAGAGAAGTGGTAGCCTAGGCAGACTTTTATATTAATGATATTCTAGGGTTTCCATATAAAAGATCATGGAAGTAAAATTACAAAAACAACAAAAAATATTTTATTTAAAAGCAAGTCTGTAAAACAGAAGGTAGATTGCTTCCTTAAGCATAGGGTCTTTTTACTGTTTCTTACAAGACCAAGGAGATTCTTAAAAAAATAAATAAATACATAAAAATTAAAAAGGGGTCAACATTATAATGCAGAGGTAAAGAATGCACAAATGCAGTCACCCACTCTTAAGGCCAAATACAGAAGAATGTTTCTTATCCTCACAATTCAAACACAAATGGCAGAAGTAAGATTTTTAAAATCTCTTTATCCCCTGAGCATAATGATAAAAAGATACATAATTAAAACCCAAGGAAACAGAGGTTTTTCTTTTCTGGGCGTTTCTGGAGGTGGGATGGGAGCTGCATTGTTTGTAAGTGAACGGTAAGGGTGACTGAGCTGAGGGATGTGCTGTGCTGTCAGGCTGCGGTCTGAGCACACGGGTGGTCACTCCGTTTCAGCTGGCAGCCACTGCCAGAAGGCAGAGCGCCGTAAAAACCGAAGAAGAAGAAAAACATCGGAGGATGAGAAACATGAAAGCAAATTGACTGTGGCCTAGGATATGTACTTAGCACAGCGGTTTGGATGCATTGCACTGGTATCACGTATCCATACGCAGCTTCGTCACGCCAGTAGTAGGGAACCCGCGCACAGAGCTCCCAGGTCTGTTTCACAGGCAGGTCCCAAAAATTAAACACCAACCACATCCCACATAGGCTCAAACGGGCACTCACATGCCATCCTGTCACCCTGCACCACCGCCGCTCACGCCGTCATCAGTATTATGTGTTGACAGCACGTGAAAACCCTATCCTACATACTAAAAAAAAAGGGAGAAGAATTTAAATAGGGATGCTCCCTCAGAAATCTGCGCAAGTTTCCCAGGAAGACCCTGCGAATAATCAGTCATTAATGGGAACGTGATGAGGGGGTGATTTTGTTTCTGTTTGTTGCTATGTGAAATATTGAACTAGAACAAGCATACAAATGTACCCGTATCTGTATTTTTTCAGTTATTTTTACTTGCTTTTATCAAGAGATAATGGGCATCAGCCTGTTGCCAGTGAAGTCACTAGAACTGATTTAAATGGGAAGGGGATGGGGCTTTCTTCCAGAGCTGTGAAAATTTCTGACTATGGGTCTGAATTAATTATGAGACAGCGCACATTGTCTTTTGGCAGAGTGCCTGTTCTGCAGCTCTTCCTTTAAATGAACAAGCTGCGTTCATAAAACTGGAAAGGGGAATCGTGGATAATGTTTTCTTAGTCTCAGACCCCTTTCAAAGCAGAACTCTCTCTCTTTCAATGCTGTTTTTTAGGGACTCATGTAAGTTTAATCCTCCAATGCGGTGACAGTCTAACCAGGTTCTGCCTACTGACTTTTGAGTTATAGAACAACAATAACTTCTCTAATTCCCCTTCCCACTCATCGAATTAAAGTATGGCTTATTTTCTTGCTGTTGCAAGCACTTCTTTGGCTGGCTGGAAGCATGGAAATGAAGCAGTTTTTGCCTGTTTCATGTCTTTCCCTGTTATTATTCAGCCTGTAAGGCCTGACCCAGCTATTGTTTAGGGTAAACTATGAACCAAATGGAATATGATTTGATTTTCAAAGGCCATGTTAACTGCAGATCAAATATGGCATTGAAATCACGGGAGGAGAGGCAGAGAGCTGATGCATTCGACTTTAGCTTGTCGTTTTTACAGCGTCCCTTTCCCATCACAGGAATGCGCTGAAGTGCTGCCTGTTTTGTATTTTAATTCTCCTTCTGCCTCTTTACGCTGTTTCCAACAGTTTCAAATTCAGACTGAGTTTTGCAAAGGAGGGGCTGCCCGAAGCAGAGGAGCTGCCTTGTTTCTTCTGCATACACCCTGGGCTATACACCTTGCCTTTGTTCTCCAGAAGAGTAAAGATGGCTAAAAACTGAAGAACAGAGAATACAAACAGCACGTTGGGCTCAGAACCAACCCTATTACAGCCCTGATGCAAAGTCCACCGAAGTCAAGGGATATCTTTCCTCTTGATTTCAGATGGATTTTGATCAGGTCTGCATCAAGCGCACCCGCTCGTCCGTCTGCGAGCGCAGCGGGATGCTGTGACCCGTGCATGCGGCCGGTACCAGTATTTGCCAGTGATGTCGCTGGCTTTGCGGTTCTGTCAGTGCTCCCGCCACAGAATGGCCCCTGTTCCCAGAGGTGTGTGGCCTGGCCATACGCGTTTCCTCCTAGCCAAAAAGTGGGAAGCAAAAGGAAGCAATTTTCGGTTGCTGGCTTGGGGGCAGAAGGTATTACAGATCCATGTGCTCACCTCTGAATTCCAAGGCTGGGAGGAGCTATGTCTGCTAGTTCCCAGCACTTTTATGCGTTGCTGTAACTAAAGAAAACATTTATATTTTAAAAATGCAATTTTACAGGCTGTTTACCCACAAAACCAATACACAAGATATAAAAAGCAACTGTTTTATATGCACGGTTTCCAGCTTTCCCCCAAGGCTTTTCACTGTGTGCTGTGTGTTACGGATCCATAATGCGCAGACGGTTGCTGCAGCTAATCCATACCCGAGGTGCACATCGGCGCGGGGCCGTGCCGTGAACACCCAGGCGGGCCCGCGTGTGCTGGCACTGACTTCCGAGAGCCGTTCCGTACCGAAGGCCACATTCTGCTCTTGTGTGCCAAGGGGTGACAGTGAACGGGACTGCCTGTGATTAGGACCAGTGACATCAGCTGGCCCAGGTTGCCTGCGTTGTCTCTGTGTTACAGGCTCTGAGGTGCCAGCTGGATTTTAATGGGTCTGTCTGGAGCGCTCTCTAAATCAGAGGCAGCCTCTGACCCTAGAAGCATGTCAGTAGAAGACCTTGTTCCAACATTTTCCTTGTAATATATTACAGTGACAAGCAAAAGAAATGAAACTATCTCGAAAACTGTCTTAACAGTTTCACTTCAACCCACAAAAGGAGGGCTGACCTGAGCTTAGCACTGAGGCAGAAATTTCTAGATCCAAATCCTGCACCCAGCAGATGCCTCGGTTTCTCCACCTGTACATTGGGAATAACAAAATTACGCCCGGTAAAGAGGTACTCCAAGGTCTGAGAAGTACAGGGCACCTTGAAACAGATTCTGAGTGTCGGAACTGAAGAGAATGACCCAAAAGCCATCGCTCGCCCTGGCTGCTGCGCTGCTCTGCTTATGGCTGTAAGCCACGCTTTCATTCGTTGTAAGTGCTGTGTGCCAGAGCGTGGGTTGCAGGACACACCTGGCACTGTCTTCTTCCTTGAGTGGGTTCAAGGGAACTTTTTTAACATAATGTGAATGTAGTTTTTTTGTGATTTCTATGTACTACAGTTTGAAGTGGTACAATTTCATTTATTTTTAGGACTGATTATTTGATGCTACAATAACATGAAAAATGTGTGTGTAGTTTTAAAATGAATGGAGAACAACGGCTTTAAGGCACTCCAGCAGAATTAGTGGCCAGATAGTACATTCTTGTTCAGTGTCTGCCCCTTTCTTCCAAAACCTTTTCCTGCGACTTGAAGACACATGAAGATCTTCTTCACTACATGAGGTGTTTCTTCATGGGGCCCGTCGATGCATCGCGATCCAGGTCAGGATAGGTGAGTGCTGGGTACAGCCAGGGCAGGTGCAGGGTCCCGACCCGTCTCTTACTGCATTTGGTGAGACGGTTCCCGTTGAGCTCAGATTTTACCCAGTCGGATGCTTGTCCGTCCCATGGTGTTCCTGCCATGGTTCCAGGGACACCCTGTGAAAAGCCTTTACAAAGGCTGGGGCTGCGTAAGGCGTTTCTAGGGGTTTGTACAGTCAGCGGCATTAGTGTGAGCGAGTGTTGTGGACAGGCAGTTACCCAGTAGGAGAGCAGAGACGATGGCTCTTAGCCCCTGCCAGCTGACGCCGTGCCGCCCCTTGCACATCTGCAAGCGCGGGTGATGCTGGGAGCAGGGATTTCCCAGCGGGCTCCGTTGCTGCTTGGGGAGGGTGGAGAGGCCGAGACGCGCTGCTGTGCGAAGGAGGAGGAGGAGGAGGAGGAGGTCTTTTTTGCTTTCAGTCACCTGAACAGTGTTAACGCCACTGCGTGATAGGCGCTGCTGCTGAAGAAAAGTGTTTGTTGCTCATTTGTCTCACCCCAGCTAGCTCTGATGAAGGAGTTTGCCTCCTACTCCAATGTTTCCCAGACAGTCAGATGCCACCTTGAACCCTACCCAGGTCACAAAATGCAGGGTTGACTGGTAAGGTTGCACACCCAGGCTGTCACGGGGTTCAAAGGCATCAACAAAAAAAAACTCTCAACAAAGGATCAGAGTGAATTTCTGCCTTGCTTGAATTTCTCCCTTTGTGCCCAGCATTTCGGAATAAATGGGGAGCGCTTCAGGTTGATGTTTTTGCACCCCACGATCCCTTACTTGCTCACAAAACTGGGATGGCAACAGAAGCGGCATGAGGAGGGTCCCGACAGGCTTTTGAATCCTCGCTCCCAGGGCTGTCCTGCAGGAGCAGAAAGGGCAGCGCGGTTGCTGGGAGCGCGCGCGCGAGACAGAAGGACCGCCGCCATGGCAGTACGGACGCGTGTCAGGCAGTTTTCACTCTGAGCCCACCAAATCGCTCCACAGAGACCACTGAGCAGCAGGTAACATCTGGCATCACAGCACAGGGCCTGGCCTGGGTTTATACCCTGGGGTTAAAAGCTTCTCTAGCTCCTTGCCCACGTTTGGAGTTGCAGAGACACCCTCCAGTCCCGTAGGATTTTCCCAGTGTCCCAAAAATGGGTAGGGCTGCAGAAATTGGCAGCACAGACTACGCCAAGCGTATTTCCAGGGCTATAGCTCGGAATGCAGCTCACCCTATGTGCCGGATTCGAATCGCAGGGCTGGGCGCGTTACCTTTCCGTTCGTGTTTTCACGGCTGTTCGTAGGTCGCGTTCCAGCGGCAGAAGCGAACGCAGGATTCGCTGCCCGAGCCGCAGCGGAGCCGAGCCTTAACG